ATTGGGGGGGGGGGCGAACCAAGACACACTTGTCTTTGAGGAATGTTGTAAAATTCACATATTACTCTACATAGAACAGTATAATCGATCATAGCAAAAACTGCTGAATTTTTCGAAAAATAGTTCCCAGTGCATGCAACAGGTAAGTATATCCCTAGTACAGCATCTCCTACCTTAATTTTACTTCAAACGTTCAGCTTAATCGGAGCTTAGCTGAACAAGAAGCGAGTACACTTTTACTCTCCGATTACATTAACACATTAGGCTATCTCTCAGTTATTTGAAGAAGGAAGGCGCTAAGATTGTATAAATGCAAAATATCAATAAGGATTAGTTGAGTCTCTTTTCCAATCTGGAGTTTCTCCGGGAATGGATTTCAGCAGCCCAGCTTTTTCCTATTTCTGTTTGAAATTTTCCTGCATGTCAATATATATATATACAATGTCAAGAAATAACTCAATGACGGGCAAGAAAAAGAACTCATTTTTTTTCCTAAGCTGAATTAAAGGGTCATTTACCTGCAGTTGAAAGGAAAAACTCGTCCAGCACCTTTCCGTGTTCTGTCATAAACGAAGGTCTATCAGTAAAAGGAACAGAAAGAAGAACATGTAGAAGATTGTAGAAAATCATGCTGCATCAAATGTAATACTGTTATATAGGTAAAAAGCTGTTATAGTGGGTAAATATAACATGAAAAATCAGTTCCGAAAAAAAACTTGGTTTTGATAGTAAAATGTTGTTATATAGGGTGACTGTTATGGAGAAGTTTGACTGTACCAATAAATGACTCATCCAGGAACCTTTAAAATTTCAGTACACTTTACTGCAGAAAGAAATTAAATGTTTTTAGCTGCATTTCTGTTAGTACTTCAACGCTCAAGGGGTGACACATGTGGTGACAGTGAGACTGACCTGTAAGCTGCAAAAATATTTAAAACCAAATGATGACTATCTAGGTCCTGATAGACAACAAATTGGAGAAGGAACAACTTCGCAAAATTAGTTTGACAACAAATTGGAGAAGAAACACCTCCGTTAAATTAGTTTTACGGCCCCTTTTGTCATTTGATACACGGATCAACTTTTCACTTCGATTTTCTATCGGCAGTCTTAAATGAACCAACAAGGAATTGCTATAGTAAAGCGGACATTTAACTGCCAACTACATGCAGCCCAAATAATTTGAATGGTTAAATCACTTTAGAGGGTCTTAGACATCTAACTCTCAAGAGAGAAAAGGATGTATCAATGACATCTAAATATATGAACAAATCCTTAATTATACAAGGTATGCCAAAAGCATAAGACAATATGGAAATCAGTGAGAAGCACAAAGAAGAAAAAGAATTTCAGCAAAATTTATAGGTTCTTATATTTTAACTTAATTCATTGGAGAAGAGTTATTTACCTGATTCATATTCCAATGCCTGCAGAATCATTTCAACCTGGATAAGATTGGGAAAATGGTGAAATGATCAGACACTATAAGATCTAATGACCTACTGAAATGATAAGAACCAACTCGATAGTTTTCAATTACAGATGCAAGACTAACAGGATGGAAGACAACACAGAAGCGGTGAGTGAACATAATTCAACAATCACTACAAGGAAAGATGCATGAATAGGATCAAGTGTGGTCGTTGGTAACCAAGATAAGCATACACACCAATTTTCCGGAGGATGAGATATGCAACATGAAATGAGCATGTTCACAGCTGCTCCAACTGTTTCCGGCGGAGGATATACACTAACTTTAAAGAAGGCGTAGTTGAAAGAACCAGTGATTGATAAAGAGTACTAAATTAATATTTTAATAATGAATTGCATGCTACTGACTTTGGAAACCCAAACTTCGACCAGAAAGAAATTATTATATCCGAGATGTGACACTTTTTCCTGAAGATTATACTCAAATAAAAGATGAAGCTAGTTTTCATACCTTGTCAAAATCTTTTACAAGATTGGCCTCTAATGAAGCATTATTTTCATACTCTTGCCACAGTTCTTTAATCTCTTCAGCTGGAATATTATAAAGCATGACATTAGAAAATGCAATAAAAAGTATGTTTTTTTTTAAATGAGTATGATACGAAATACAAATAAACCTTGTTGAGATGTAAAAACCATAAGGGAATACCTCTCATCCCTCCACCAAGAATTTTGCACATTTCATTCAAGGCAGCTTGCTCACGTCTGCTTTTCTCAGCCTTAGGCACACCATCAGATGGAGTTATATCTCCAACAATTGCTATAACATTTTAAAATTCTCATCAAATGCAAAAATAAAAATAAAAATAGAAAACATGGTGAAAATCCTCTTCCTCAGCCCCCATACAGNTCATCTTGATACTGGATAAATCATATAAAAATGTAGTCGCTGCAAATAATTTAGCCTACAAGTCGAAAACAGAAAAGCTTTCTTAGAAAAATACTTTTGTGTTTTGAGGAAATACCTTCAGCAATGTCATGAACAATGGCCATCTTAATGCACCTGTTACATAAATCGAGTAGCAATTAACTTGGATGACGCAAAAAGATGAACATAAGCATCAAGAAAGTAACACGCTAGAACGAGCATAGAGATCATGTTTGCATGGACAAACTTCAGGTTTCTATGTAAGAACAACACACCACATTTGAGCAATCAACACGAACAGCGTACTAGGTTCTACCAAGGCAATTCTATGTTGGTAGATACGGCAGATTACATCATTCAGATCTCATATAACTTCACCATGATCCCTTGGTAAACAAAAACTTCGAAAAATTTCGTTAGACCACTTAATGGTATTATCAGCCGAATTAGCAAACCAACGGGCTAAAAGACCCCTTTGGTTAGTGCAATATTCTCAACTTGTTCTAGTAACATGTAATTCAGTAAACTTCAATCAAAACGCAAGAACAACATAGAAAATTCTCCACGAAGTTATCCGTATTTTAGGTTTTCTTAGCAGATGCATTAGAAGAGAAATCAGATATAAGTTCCATTAAGATTTCTCATTAATCTGCATGAACATTCTAATCACTGTAAATGCTTGGAAAAATGTTAGTTATATATAAGTAACATTTCTTTGCCCTACGTTTCGAAAAGAAATTTAGGCATATGCGCACTTGGCTGCTTATCCTCTTCTTTTGCATCACAAGAAAACAGAGACAGTCACAACTGCTCCCATCTGAGAATGAAGAAGTTTGGAAAACCACGGTAAGCAACCTTTAACCCCCTTATTCCCCCTACATTTTGCTAGCAACATAGCAGAAGCATCAACAAATTTGAATCAAAATAGCAAGTTCTATATCAGTTATATTAAATCCAACCTTTCTCTGTTAACATCGGGAAGGTCACTAGCGATCAAAGCCATCACGGACATTAGGTACATATGATCAGCAATAGACTCAGGACCTTTTATCCCATGATTTACCCATCCCTTCCGCTTTTGGGTCTACAAAACAAGTAGAGATGCGTGTTATACTTCCCAACCAAACATTGTGGCAAACTTGGGATGCATCCTAGTCAAATTGAATGTAGAGCACAGACAAAATGCAATACAAAAAATAAAAATAAAAATAAAAATACAATCAATCATTAAGACAGCATTGCACAGCAAATAGAGTCAACTGAAAAAGACCTGCAGGAGAAAAATGGATGACATTATTCTTATTTCTAACTCAATTTATAAAATGTACTACTAAAACTTTGTCCAAGACGACACACTCAATTGCCTACATGAGTTTGAAGAATCAGATAGCTTCAGGCAGAGAAAACTGCTGAGAAGAGACATTTCTTCAGTTGGAACCAAAAATATACCATCCCTCTCTTCGGCTTTTCCTATTAAAGATTAACTGCTCATTTAGCAAAGCTTAAGTTTGTGGTTCTGGTTCTGGTTTTGGCTGGTGACCACTTTACAAGATATATCAGTGTTTGAGCCAAATTGAGTTCAGGTTACAAATGCTACAATCTACCGCATAGCGCAAGAAAGCTATTATGAACTGCACTAAACCAAACACAAAGCAACCCATAAAAGAGACCTCTTTTACTTCTTAAGTGTATTGATACATATTTGACCAGGATAGCCCAACGTCTAAACTCAATACCGTTTTTATTATAATAGTAATGTCGTGGACAACTTCTCACACCTCGACTAATCCACTCGACAACTTGCTATGGCCTACAAGTAGAGATTCTAGGTAAACTTCCTGTCAAGATTGGCTCACGTTGAGTGTTGCAGCTGGGGTTCACACCTAAGTTCTCCAGGTTGCTACTTCTATGTCTTAACCACTCAGTCATCCCATTGAAGAACCTTTTATTAGATTTTGATTACTTAAACTTTTCTTTTTTAAGATGGTGGTGTCCAGGCCAGCATGCGCGCACCTCAACTATTCCACCCGGTAGTTGCTAATTTGTTACTTCCCACCCCCACAGGGTACCGAGTAATTTGCCTACCAACGCTTAGGCAGATGGGAAGAAATCAACCGAGTATTTTTTTTTTTGGATTCCTTATACTTAGACGTTTTGAAAGCCTAGATATCACAAAAGTGCATTCTTTTACTTCATCAAACTATAACCTTTCAAATAAATTCAGCCCAAGTTGCCAAATTCCCAAGTTTTCCCCACTTTAACCCCTTAACAAGCATGCCCAGTTCTCCATTCTGCAGCATAAACTAATGAATATGCGCATTTGTGTATTAATACGTAAAATTTCTAAAAGATCACAATATATCACATCGGTGTAATGTTATCACAAGATACTTACCATTTATTAGAAATTACCAATGCTATTAAATAGAGTTACCTGTGATTACCTTGTAAGCATCGGATTTCTTAAATATATTTTCACCGTCAATGTACAGAACTTAAGCTCAAAAAAATTAAAAAGTACATGAAAAGCACAAAATTATTCACATGCAATGATACATTTACCTTAAGACTATGACACAAAGTGAGAAAATCAATGGCATTAGAAGGAGAAGACGAAACTTCAGCACTTTCATCCAAAGAATCAACCTTTGTTGACCCGGACCCGAAACTAGTGATACTCGGATCCAAATTCACAGAACCCGAAATGGGTTTTTTGGAACAAGCAGAAATAAGGTTTGAACATTGAGAACGGGGCAAAAAAGGAAGCTTATTTAAAGAAATCCGGTGAAGTGGTGGGAAAGAAGAGTAAGGGGTTGATGAAGATGAAAGGAAAAGGGAATTTGGGTTGGCTTTAGCTGCTGCCATCATTGTAATAAGATTGTAAGATTTGGGAAATTTTTCTTCTTTTGATTGGTTTTTGATCTTTTGATGGTTTTGTTTTTCTGGTTTGTTGTTTGGGCAAACGAAAGAGAAAAAGGTTGGAAGGTCCGAAACAAAATTGGGACTTTGTTTTTGGGGCATTTACTTAATGTTTGGATCATTGTTACCATTGTTTTATAATATACTGTATTGTAGCGTATCATTTTATCGATATATCGTTTGAATAAATTGTATCGTTTGCTATTGTTAAATAATATTTTTGTTATTTGGTTTGACTGTATTGTACTTCACTAAAATACCCGCAATTATTTTAAATAAAGTTTATCAAGAATTACACATAAAATTAATTTAAGAAAACTCTTTTCTATTAATTTATCATTAATCACCTAGCTTGGAAACAAGAGCAAAAACCTGAAAAAACAAATGTTAACTAATATTAGCAATACAAGAAAAAAAAAAAATAAAACGATGAAAAGATACAAAGAATCGAACGGAGACTTAGATAATAAAAAGAACGGGGCAAACCAACTCTAGAAAAGATTAAAAAAGACAAAGTAGGTTAATATATTGGAGATTTGGAGTTAAAATAAAAAAAATTAAATGATAAAATAAAATTATGGAGTAATAAGTAAGGGCATAATTAGAAAAGAAAATAGAAAACGATCCCACCACACCAAATCGGTTGTTTTATAAAATGGGGCTTTTGGTTGCTCCGAAACAATGGATTTAACAATATGATACAAGCAATAATCAAAACGAACATTGTTTTGGGCTAACAATATAATACGATACAAGGGGTAACAATCATCCAAACAAGCTGTTATGGCCATCTCATCTTTCTCTAGGGAAAAAAAATAGTAATAATAATAAATTTAAAAAGAAAATTTTTCCCACTTTAACACTCAACATTTGCTAAAGTTTAAGAATCTTATATTTAAAGTGATAATACATATTACTTATATAATAATTTTAGGCAGCCCGATACACTAAGTTGCTATGTTCGAGGTTCGGAAAAAGGCCGGACCATAAGAATCTATACAATGATTAAGTGATAAAAATTTATGTAAAACAAGTAGGACTTAAATTCATTATAAACATTAGAAAATGTAATACAACAAGGGCCAAACCAAGGGCTTGCACACGAAGAAAGGAACTAATCAATTAGAATTGAGACAAGGAGAAGAGGCAAAAGAGAATTTATTCATGTTACGTTATATGAATATTTTTTCACTATAATGGTCATCCTTTATAATAATATTTTATTATAACGGCCAAGTTAGAATTGATTTTTCATGTTAGGTTATATTAATATTTTGATATAGTGGCCAGAAACGTCCGGACAAATGATGTTGTTAGGTTTGACTGTATATGGTAAGTTTCAGTCAATCAAGAGAGGAAAGAGCCTTATACTTTAGGTTAGGCCGGTTTCATCATTCACGTAATTTCCTCGTCCATCGAATGGTCATGCGAGTACACATCCGATTAGCGAATAACAAATAACAAAATCGTTCATCCTCAAGAAAGTTTTTTTATCATTTGATTGATGCCTATTCATTCGGTTAAAGTCTCTATCTTGCATGCTAAGAGATGGACCATATTGGTATTATTGTTTTGCTAAAACAACTACTCTACATTTTTAAGTTTTTCATTATAGAAATTGCCATTGAACCATCGTTTAATGTCTTGCCACAAGAAAAAGGGCTATAATACTATATATTTTTTTTCATGAAAAAAAGAGATCAAAATTTTCAAAATCCAACTAATTTGATCTTTTGAAGTTTGGTTCTACATTTAAGATTTAACAGAATTTCAACATTACAATTGTGTTTAGCTGTAAAGTTTTTTAATCTGATAGCACCGAGGAGAAAATAATTGAAGAATTCCTTGTAGAGTGCAACTATTATGATTTATGGTCCTTGATCTACTTACATGAGTTTGTGTACTTTCTTTTCCTTGCAACAAAATTTGAAGTGAACACATTAGTTTTCTTTCCCTATAGAAATTTTGAGTAATTCAATTTTATTTGGAAGGTAATAGTTGGATTGATTTTGCTTTTATTTGAAAATCATAACGCGCTATACTTAAAAGGTTTTATTAATTTGATCAGACTACTTATTCTCATTCAAAGGCATCTTAATAAAACTCGTGGCCTAAAGCTAAATTTTAATAAGAGGCTTAATTTTTTTCTATAGTATAATTATCTTGCAAAATATAGTATTAATATTACATTAGTTCCTTTTTTCTTTCTTTCTTTTTGTCTATAGTGTAGTTATCTTATAAAATATAATATAATATTCACATTGGTAAGAAAATTCAAGTTAATAAGATATTAGTCACGTATTTACAATTTGTTATCTTGGATTATATTGTAAAATATGTTATTTATCAATATGCAGATTTGAGTATCTTAATTCAAAGTTCTAAAATATTTCTATTGTTAAAAAATAATAGTCTTTCTTTCCATTTTTATAAGGATTTAGTATTTTTTTTAATTTTTTCTATAAATTTCAATATTGTCTAAGCGAAAATAAGATAGTAAATCCATAACTTAAAATATTTTTGGGACCCCAAAATTTAGGGGGCCTAAAATAAAAACTTTACTAGCCTCCTCCTTAATGTGTGCAAAAGTTTTTCTATAATTGTGATTGTCTTCATGGGTATTTTCTCGGTGAGTCTCAAGGCGAGCCCGGGGCAAGGCGAGCTAAAAAGGTACAAAAGCGGACTAGCGGTGCGTAAGTATCATGGAACTGGACTCATTACGGTGTTTTATCTGGAATAAAATTTCAACACTGTGGGTTCAATTAGAAAAAAAGTGTTATGGGTATTAGTCCTAACTTTTCGGGCGTTCGCTAAAGCATATAAAATCCTAACCTTCCGCATACTTATTTGGGGCGTATGCCCCGAGAACTTCCCCAAAACTAGAAACCAAATTGCTTAATAAGTTTTTTAATACTTAAATACTCACAAGTTTAATATTTAATTATTTTTAACCTTAGGTTTGTATTATATATTACTTGGTTGTTTGTGTAGTTTTCTAGTTTTAGGTTTCCAACAATAACTTTATATTATTTTTATTTTTTATTTTTTGAGTCATTAATTAGCCCTATCCTTTTTACAGCTCTAGACTTTAAAGTATGTCCTATCACAACCCTACTATAAGCCTAATACATCTTTACGTCTTTGACTATCACGATCCAAAATCGCACATGTCGTGATGACGTCTATCGCAATACTAGGCAAGCCGACAACCCCAATAAAACTTGCAATTCCTTAAATTTGGAAACATAATAAAATATGTTTAAGAGAAAAATTCCAAAATACAGATACCACATTCCCCAAAATTCTGGTGTTACTAAGTACATGAGCATCTAAATGGGATCATAGTCTAACTGATAAAATACTGTCTAGAGATATAGAACAATACAAATAACTGAAAGGAGGGAGAGTCGATGTCTGTGGACGCCAAAGCAACTACCTCGAGAATCTCCGAATTGATAAAAGCTCTGAAATCAACAACCATCGTACCCGAAAGTACTTGGATATGCACATGAAGTGCAGAGTATAGTATGAGTACAACCAACTCATTAAGTAACAAACATAACCTTGAGCTGAAAGTAGTGACAAGATCAATAGACATAACCCAAATATGGATATAACAGAGCAGGAATGTAGACATGCTTCAAGTAGGATAGTTTAAGCTCAAAATATGTAAAATGTGCCAAGTATAACTGGGATGAGGAATTACACATCTCTATATCTGCATATCAATTATGCACGCTAACTGTAATGCAATGTAGTGATAAAACTCATGTGCATCCTCTCTGAGCAATAATTTACTCAGTCCTCCCATCCACTCAATCCTCACGGTCACTAATGCCTCACAATCACTTAGTCGTCACAGTCATTCATGCCTCACAGTCACTCAATCCTCTCAAATCACTCGGCACTCGCACTCAGTAGGTATCTGCGCTTACTGTGGGTGTGCAGACTCCGGAGGGGCCGATCCAGCCCAAGCGCTATAATAATCCAATCATGGCATGAATCAAATAAACATGATGTGGTGTGCAGCCCGATCCCATAAATATCCTCACAATCAGGCCCTCGGCCTCACTCAGTCATCAATCTCTCCGGTCTCTCGGACTCATATAACACGTATTTCAGGGATTCATACCCTCAAAATTAAGTTTAGAACTATTACTTAACTCAAACCGTACAAATCCCTACTCCAATATGCCCTTGACTCGCGAATTGGCCTCCGAACGCCTCGAATCTAGCCACAAACAGTTCGATACAATAAACACAAGCTATAGGAATCAATTCCATAAGAAAATGCTAATTTTCCAAATTAAAAGCCGAAAAATCAACTTGGGGCCCACGCCTTTGAACCCGACAAAAGTTACAAATTTCGAACACCCATTCCGTCACGAGTCCAACCATACCAAAATTACTAAATTCCGACTCTGATTCGGCCTTCGAACCCTCATTTTTAATTTTGAGAAGATTTTACAAAAATCCCATTTTCTTCCATTCAATTCACTAATTAATGATGTAAATAAGTATGAAATCAAGAAATATAACTAATTTCGGATAAAGAATACTTACCTAACTCAAACTCGTGAAGAATCACTCTGAAATCGCCTAAAACCGAGGTCTAAAACTCTAAAAATGAACAAAAATGGCGAAACCCCAATTTTAGAACCTTTCCGGGCAAGTCGCATTTGACACATGAGACTTATAAATTGCATTTGACACCTGCGGTTCGCCTCTGCTCCAGAAAAACAACATTCTTTTCCGACACGGAAATGGGCATAACTCTCTCATACGACCTCGGAATGCGACGATTCTTATTGCTATGGTTTCGTAATTACGATACGGATCTGATGGTTCAACAGAATCACAAACCAAAGGTCATTTGCACAATTCCTTTATGCTAAAAGCAACGACGTCGAAACATCAAATAAGAGCGCGACACAATCCAAACCCATCCGAAACTCACCCGAGCCCTATGGGACCCCAACCAAATATACTAACAAGTCCCAAAATATGATACGAACTTGTTCGAAGCCTCAAATTGCCTCTAATAATATCGAAACTACGAATCACACCCCAATTCAAGCCTATTGAAAACTA